ATAACAAAATCCTGTGACTGCTCACAGCCTTGGCACAGGTGGCTGTGATTGGTCATCAATGGAAAACAATCCACATGGACCAATCATGGATGCACCTGTTGCATTCCACAGCAGCAGATAGTAATTGTTTACATTTCTCTCCTGAGGCTCCTCAGCTTCTCAGGAGAGGAAAAATCCCAGCAAAGGATTTTTCATAATATCATGGCTACAGGGCACTGCTCCTGGGTAAGGGCTTCTCATGGGCAGGGCACTGCTCCTGGGAAGGAACATTCCTCCTGGGCAGGGCACTGCTCCTGGGTAAGGGCACTGCTCCTGGGTCATGGCACTCCTCCTGGATAAGGGCTTCCCCCTGGGCAGGAACATTCCTCCTGGGGGTCAGGCCACTGCTCCTGGGCAGGGGCACCATTGGGTTAGGGCTGCCTCCAGGGCAGGGTGCTCCTCCTGGGTCAGGGGCATTGCTCCAGGGCAGGGGCACAGGGGCACTCCTCGTGGGTCAGGGGCACTGCTTCTGGGTCAAGGCATTGCTCTGGGGCAGGAGCATTGCTCCTGGGTGAGGGCTGCTCCTGAGCAGGGCACTCCTCCTAGGTAAGGGCTTCTCCTGGGCAAGAACATTCCTCCAGGGCAGGGCACTTCTCCTGGGCAGGGGCATTGCTCCTGGGGCAGGGCACTTCTCCTGGGCAGGGGCATTGCTCCTGGGGCAGGGCACTTCTCCTGGGCAGGGGCATTGCTCCTGGGCCAGAGCACTCCTCCTGGGCAGGGGCATTGCTCCTGGGGCAGGGCACTCCTCCTGGGTAGGGGCATTGCTCCTGGGGCAGGGCACTCCTCCTGGGCAGGGGCATTGCTCCTGGGGCAGGGCACTTCTCCTGGGCAGGGGCATTGCTCCTGGGGCAGGGCACTCCTCCTGGGCAGGGGCATTGCTCCTGGGGCAGGGCACTCCTCCTGGGCAGGGGCATTGCTCCTGGGGCAGGGCACTCCTCCTGGATAAAGGTTTCCTCCAGGGCAGGGGCACTCCTTGTGGGTCAGGGGCACTGCTCCTGGCTCAGGGCTTCCTCCTGGCTGGGGCACTGCTCTTCTCCTGGGCAGGGGCATTGCTCCTGGGTAAGGGCTTCTCATGGGTAAGGGCACTGCTCCTGGGTAAGGGCTTCTCATGGGCAGGGCACTGCTCCTGGGAAGGAACATTCCTCCTGGGCAGGAACATTCCTCCTGGGGGTCAGGCCACTGCTCCTGGGCAGGGGCACCATTGGGTTAGGGCTGCCTCCAGGGCAGGGTGCTCCTCATGGGTCAGGGGCATTGCTCCAGGGCAGGGGCACAGGGGCACTCCTCGTGGGTCAGGGGCACTGCTTCTGGGTCAAGGCATTGCTCTGGGGCAGGAGCATTGCTCCTGGGTGAGGGCTGCTCCTGAGCAGGGCACTCCTCCTAGGTAAGGGCTTCTCCTGGGCAAGAACATTCCTCCAGGGCAGGGCACTTCTCCTGGGCAGGGGCATTGCTCCTGGGGCAGGGCACTTCTCCTGGGCAGGGGCATTGCTCCTGGGGCAGGGCACTTCTCCTGGGCAGGGGCATTGCTCCTGGGGCAGGGCACTTCTCCTGGGCAGGGGCATTGCTCCTGGGGCAGGGCACTTCTCCTGGGCAGGGGCATTGCTCCTGGGGCAGGGCACTTCTCCTGGGCAGGGGCATTGCTCCTGGGGCAGGGCACTTCTCCTGGGCAGGGGCATTGCTCCTGGGCCAGAGCACTCCTCCTGGGCAGGGGCATTGCTCCTGGGGCAGGGCACTCCTCCTGGGCAGGGGCATTGCTCCTGGGGCAGAAGGGCTTCTCCTGGGCAAGAAATTGCTCCTGGGGCAGGGCACTTCTCCTGGGCAGGGGCATTGCTCCTGGGGCAGGGCACTTCTCCTGGGCAGGGGCATTGCTCCTGGGGCAGGGCACTCCTCCTGGATAAAGGTTTCCTCCAGGGCAGGGGCACTCCTTGTGGGTCAGGGGCACTGCTCCTGGCTCAGGGCTTCCTCCTGGCTGGGGCACTGCTCCTGGGTTAGGGCTTCTCCTGTGTCAGGGCACTGCTCCTGGGCAGGGGCACTCTTGGGTTAGGGCTTCCTCCAGGGCAGGGCACTGCTCCTGGGTCAGGGCATTGCTCTGGGGCAGGGGCACTTCTCCTGGGTGAGGGCTTCCTCCTGGATCAGGGCACTCCTCCAAGGCAGGAACATTCCTCCTGGGGGTCAGGACACTCCTCCTGGGTCAGGGTACTCCTCCTGGATGAGGATGTTCCTCCTGGATGAGAATGTTCCTCCTGGATAAGGATGTTCCTCCTGGATGGGGATGTTCCTCCTGGATGAGGGTGTTCCTCCTGGGTAGCTGGATATTCCTCCTGGATGAGGATGTTCCTGCTGGATGAGGATGTTCCTCCTGGGTGCGGATGTTCCTCCTGGATGAGGATGTTCCTCCTGGATAAGGATGTTCCTCCTGGATAAGGATGTTCCTCCTGGATGGGGATGTTCCTCCTGGGTATCTGGGTGTGGAGCAGCCTCTCCAGGCTGATTCCCTCAGGCATCTTCAGGGTCTGGAGCAGAACTGCTCCAGGGGCTTTTCCAAACACCAAAGGGTGTAAACAGGGAATTGGAGTGGGTTTATTGTTTATTCCTGTCTGGATAAACCTGGCATGGGCACATCCATGGGCACCAGGGGCTCAGGGCTGGGTCACTCCTGCCCAACACCTTCAGGGCATGAGGGCACCACCCTGGCTCAGCTCAGGGACAGCCCCAGGGGTGGGATGTGGATCTGCTGGGGACAGGGGGCTCTGCAGAGGGACCAGGACAGCCTGGATCCATGGGCTGGGACCACCGGGGTGAGGGACAACAAGGCCAAGAGCTGGGTCCTGCACTGGGGTCACA